AAATTATATTTGATGTTCTAGATGTTAACGACAATGCACCAGTTATAAATATCATGTCATTTTCCAGTCCCATTTCTGAGGATGCCCTTCCTGGTACTACAATCGCTATTTTAAACATAAAAGATCCAGACTCTGAAAAAAATGGGCGAATAAAATGTTCAATAGATGGTAAACTTCCTTTTAAGATAGAATCTTCTCTAACCAATTATTACAATTTGATCTCAGATCAACACTTTGATAGAGAATCAGTCTCAGAGTATAATATAACAATAACAGCCACTGACATGGGCTCTCCCCCACTTTCTAGCTCAACAAAATTTACATCTTAAACTTTACCGATGTAAATGATAATGCACCATTATTTAATCAAAATAGTTACTCAGCTTACATAACAGAGAACAATTCACCTGGAGCGACTATATTTGCTGTCAGCGCACAGGACTCAGATTGGAATCAAAACGCCAGAATTTCTATCTTTTAGAGAAACACAAGTCAGTGGAAGTCCAGTTTCTACTTATGTGTCTTTAAACTCTGAAACTGGAGTTCTAAGTGCAATTCGTTCTTTTGATTATGAGCAAATTAAACAACTTCAGCTGGTAGTCAAAGCTCAGGATGGAGGCTCTCCTCCACTTAGTAGCAACGTGACTGTGAAAATACTGATCCAGGACCAGAACGACAACCCTCCTCAGGTCCTGTACCCAGTCCAGACTGGTGGCTCTCTGGTGGCTGAGATGGTGCCTCGTTCAGCAGATGTGGGCTATCTGGTCACTAAAGTGGTGGCTGTTGATGTGGACTCTGGACAGAATGCCTGGCTCTCCTATAAACTGCAGAAAGCCACAGACAGGGCGCTGTTTGAAGTGGGCTTACAGAATGGAGAAATAAGAACTATCCGCCAGGTGACTGATAAAGATGCTGTGAAACAAAGACTGTCTGTTATAGTGGAGGACAACGGGCAGCCCTCTCGTTCAGCTACAGTCATTGTTAACGTGGTGGTGGCTGACAGCTTCCCGGAAGTGCTGTCTGAGTTCACTGACTTTACACAGGACAAGGAGTACAATGACAACCTGACTTTTTACTTAGTGCTGGCTCTGGCTGTAGTGTGCTTCCTCTTCATCACGTGTTTAGTGGTTATTATATCAGTGAAGATCTACAGGTGGAGACAGTCTCGCATCATGTTTCACTCCAATCTCCCTGTGATTCCATATTATCCTCCACGTTACTCAGACACTTTGGGGACAGGGACTCTCCAACACGTGTACAACTACGAGGTGTGCAGGACGACTGACTCCAGAAAGAGTGACTGTAAGTTTGGCACAGCCCAGAGTCAGAACGTGCTGATAATGGACCCCAGTTCTACAGGGACGATGCAGCGGATACAGAGTGAAAAGAGCATCCTGGATGAACCTGACTCTCTTCTGGAGGTGAGTTAGGGAAATATTGCTTCGTTTTCTGTCTCTGTGTACATTTTGTGCAATGATAAAGAACAGTTGAACACAACAGTCACTTTCAGCACCATAGAGAGCACCCATGTTATAGTTAGGATCTTGTAGCCGTTGCTTTTCCAAATCTGATGTCAATGTTGACATATATGTGCACAGCATGTAATTACAACCTTTTTTTTCTAAATAGTTTAAATTTAAAAAGCTACATTTCCACTGTTTATCAATATTTAATATTTACTATAATGCAAAAACTGGTACATATTTGTTTCTGTAAATAGGTGTTGCAGCATTCAGGTCTTTACGTGAAGTGATTGAAATGTTTTAGTTAGTGCTCATTGATGAGACTAATGAGGGCATTGTTGTTATTCTTATCTCGAATTTCTACTTGGTAATTATTTGTCTTCAGTGACTGTGATGCAGTGTTGTATGGCACGTTGATTCTCCACTGGAGATTTTTTTTTTTTTAATTCTTTATTTTTATGCTTTGCTGTGTCGTGATTAACAGCATAATGTGTTACATTTTGTATGACATCATACATTATGAGGGACCCGGTCCTATGTATTCAATTATCGGTATCATATTAGCATGAAAATTACATTTGCAAGAATTTCCCCACTTTGTGTTGATATTCATTCACTGGACTCTAAGGGACGCTGTCGGTCTAGTTAAACAACTCTGAACAGTGTTTCAGGCGGTTCCTTTCTACATCCTGCCCTGTGGAGAGTGAATATGCTTCATACCGTACACGACGTGGAAGTGGGCGCAGATAGACTGTGTTTGAATTGATATTTTTCACCACGAAAGAAACAAAATACAAATCGTTTTATCATAAACTACACCCTCGTTAATACTTCTTTTTTTTATGAGCAGTGTTTGGATGGTATTATTTCCCATACATTATTTGATAACATGGATTTCGGAAAATATGACGACTGGACACTAAGATGGCGTTTGGGCTACGGACTGACGTCGCGAGGCATTCTGTTTATTGTTTTTCTCAGTCATATTGCCGGCGGTCAAATACGTTATTCAATCACAGAGGAAATGAAGAAGGGATCCCTTATTGGTAATGTCGCATTGGACCTCGGAATATCTGCGCAGAGGCTCCGTTCTGGTCGGGCCCGTGTCGTGACAGGAGAAAGCATCCAGTACACCGAGCTGAAGACAGACAAAGGGACGCTGGTAGTAAATGAGAGGATAGACCGAGAGCAGCTTTGTGAGGAGGTAACACCGTGTAGCTTCAGCTTTGATTTGATTTTGGAAAACCCGATGGAACTGCATCACGTGACGGTCGAAGTATTGGACATTAATGATAATTCACCTTCTTTTCGTCAGCATGACATGCAATTAATGATTGGAGAATCAGCCGTACCTGGAGCACGTTTTGTTTTGCCAACAGCCAATGATCCTGATGTTGGAGTTAATGCACTGCAGGACTATCATTTATCTACAAATGAACATTTTATTTTAAAAAAATATTCAAATACTGACGGAAGAAAATATGCTGAGATGGTTCTTGAGAAACCACTGGATAGAGAGCAATATCCAAGTTTGTCCCTAAAGCTGATAGCATTTGACGGTGGGACGCCACATAAATTGGGTACTGTAATTATAGATATCACTGTCTTGGATCATAACGACAATTCTTCTGTTTTCAAGCAAACAGTTTATAAGGCCAATGTAGTGGAAAACTCCCCCGGAGTTACATATATCATCACGGTTAATGCCACTGACGCAGATAGCGGATCAAATGGTTTGATTTATTATTCTATTTCCAAAATGCAAGGCAGTATAGACAGCATATTTTAAATTAACAAAACAACGGGTGTGATATTTCTGTCAAGGCAGGTTGACTATGAAAAAGCAAAAAAGTATGAAATACGCATTGAAGCAACAGACCAAGGAGCTTTAACAGACTCAAGTAAGGTCATAGTTGAGGTGATTGATGTGAATGATAACTCACCTGTATTAAATGTCATGTCCTTCACTAGCCCTGTGTCAGAAGACTCTCCTCCTGGTACAACTATTGGAATTATAAATGTGAAAGATCTTGATTCAGGTGAAAACGGAAAGGTAACATGTAAAATAGAACAAAATGCACCTTTTAAGATTAAATCTAATTTAAGAAATTACTACACTTTGGTAACAGATACGGTATTGGATCGTGAAAGTGTTTCAGAATATAATATCACTGTAGTTGCGACAGATGCAGGAAGGCCTCCTCTCTCGACAAGAAAACATTTTCATTTAAAGATCTCTGATGTGAACGATAATGCTCCTGCGTTTTCACAAAGTGTTTACAATGCGTTTATTGCAGAGAATAACTCCCCAGGTATTTCTGTTCTCACTGTGAGAGCTGAAGATCCTGATGAAAACCAAAAATCCCGTATATCTTATATTCTGGAAGATACTAAAATCGGCGGGTCTCCCGTTTTTGAATATGTTTCTATAAATGCAGAAAGCGGAGTTATACATGCAGTGCGCTCATTTGATTACGAGCAGATCAAACAGTTGGTTTTCGTAGTCAAAGCTCAGGATGGAGGCTCTCCTCCACTTAGTAGCAACGTGACTGTGAAAATACTGATCCAGGACCAGAACGACAACCCTCCTCAGGTCCTGTACCCAGTCCAGACTGGTGGCTCTCTGGTGGCTGAGATGGTGCCTCGTTCAGCAGATGTGGGCTATCTGGTCACTAAAGTGGTGGCTGTTGATGTGGACTCTGGACAGAATGCCTGGCTCTCCTATAAACTGCAGAAAGCCACAGACAGGGCGCTGTTTGAAGTGGGCTTACAGAATGGAGAAATAAGAACTATCCGCCAGGTCACTGATAAAGATGCTGTGAAACAAAGACTGACTGTTATAGTGGAGGACAACGGGCAGCCCTCTCGTTCAGCTACAGTCATTGTTAACGTGGTGGTGGCTGACAGCTTCCCGGAAGTGCTGTCTGAGTTCACTGACTTTACACAGGACAAGGAGTACAATGACAACCTGACTTTTTACTTAGTGCTGGCTCTGGCTGTAGTGTCCTTCCTCTTCATCACGTGTGTAGTGGTTATTATATCAGTGAAGATCTACAGGTGGAGACAGTCTCGCATCATGTTTCACTCCAATCTCCCTGTGATTCCATATTATCCTCCACGTTACTCAGACACTTTGGGGACAGGGACTCTCCAACACGTGTACAACTACGAGGTGTGCAGGACGACTGACTCCAGAAAGAGTGACTGTCAGTTCGGCACAGCCGGTCGTCAGAACGTGCTGATAATGGACCCCAGTTCTACAGGGACGATGCAACGGATACAGAGTGAAAAGAGCATCCTGGATGAACCTGACTCTCCTCTAGAGGTGAGTCAAGCAAACTAGCTTGGTATTTTTGCTTGTTTAAAGACACGCTTTGAATCACTTTTCTCTTATTTGCAGCACCTTTGAGAGCAGTGTCATTGCATATTCAAAACCTTTATATAAGTTACATTCCCCGTGTTTTTTTTACTATCACACTTTGTAATCACTCCAACATTTGCATTTCAAATTTCCTGTTTAGAATATTATATTAATTGGGTAACTGCAGTATCAAACAAAACTTTCAACTAACAGGAGAGTTATTATCTGTGCTATTGTGGCGGGGTGGTCGTTTTTAAAGGCAGAGCCACCCAAATACCAAAATGCCTGACAACGCCACCTGGGGAGTTTCGCCCCAGGAGATATTTAATTTACACCTCAGAACTAAGAAGGCTCTACAAGTTTGTGACTGACACAAGACAGAGACGTGGTTCAATTATAATTAAACAGTTTATTTCATTATGTCAATCACGTGTATTTGTTTATTCTTGG